TCATATAATGGTCTGGGAAATCTAGCTTTACATTTTCCCTGCTTATTCATACATGTAGGTCTATCCCTCTTTGCAGCTTTTTTACTAGCTGATCTGTTTCTTCCACAATCATGTACATTAGACCTCAGAATGAGATCATCTACTGTCTTTGCATATTCTTGCCACCAGGTGCTAAGATTTTCACATTTTTCACAATTATTGCAGTCACAAAATGGAGGAGGTGCTTCAGGTAAAGTCTGGGTCGGATCCTTATAATTCTTGTTTTGATTTTTCTCTATATCTACCTGGTGCTTCACCTTATCCATTGGCCCTGTTATAAATTCACCAATGTGGACAGCCTCCAAATATTCAACTATTTTCTTTTGAAAGTCTGAAAAAGGATCCATGATTTTGTCTCTGATTTCCTGAGGAGTTAAAGCTCCTTTGATCCAAAGTAGCATATGCAAATGTAAAGTCAATCTTCCCTGTTGTTCCACTGTTGCATAAAATGCCTCTGTATCTCCATACAGTCCTCTATGTTTTTCACCCACACCAAGAACATGCTTGATGAACACTCAGTTATGAAGTGGAAAAATCTAGCACCAGCTACAGGATTATTTGCAATTAATTTGTATCTTTCATCATATTCTCTTAACAATGGACTAAACTTTTCCTTAGTATCAGCAAAGTATAATGATATAGGGTGCATGTTATCAGCTGGAGAGAATGTGATGAACCAAGATGGAGCTCCAATGAATGAGATGAGAGACCAGATTTCATTGCGCATATATTTTTTGGTAGTAGTTGAGCCTTGAACTCTTCCTGAAACATGATCCAAGTCTTTAATAAGCTGAAAACACAAGGACTCTTCATCAGTTTCAGGCTTTACTCTCTCTCCATCCCCCATTCTTTGGATCAAGTCACTTAGAACTTCAATATCAACATCCATAAGTCTTTTTGAAATATTGTCAAATTTTAGAGTCTCAGCAAGCAGGTATCCTGAAGATGTACTTTGTTTGATTTGCTCATGATTAAAAGCAATTAATGCAAAGTGAGAATCCTTTTGAAAGCGCTTGTCATGGTACATAAGAAGATGCCTTTTGTGTTTGATTTCAGACAGACGCCCCTTCTGGAAAGTGTTTCCAATTCCTCCAAGGCCATATGGAAAAAGCCATGGAAACATCTGAGGAAATAACTGAGGATTATTGTATAATGACTCTGGTTCTTGTGCATGGCCCACAGCTAATATCTTTTTATTTGAAGTCAAATGTTGAAGGGCAATGGCTTTGAGTGCTTTTAAGCTTTTTGTTGAATATTCTTCACCAGTCAATCCATGAACTACAAATGGACACTGGCCAGTTTCAGTTCCAGTCTCCTCTTCTATATCATTAATAGCTGTAGACTCTGGATCTTTGTTTGAAGATGACTCTCTATAATCCACTACAACTGGTGGACTATCCTCAGGATATTCTCTA